ACTACTACTGCGACGACTACTGCGACTACAACTACGACTCACTACGACTACGACTACGACTACGACTACGACTACGACTACGACTACTACTGCGACTACGACTACAACTAAGACGACGACGAGAACGACGACTACCAGCACCACTACGACTCCTGCCGTGCTGAGGTACACGACTTCGCTGCCCTTTGTTGGCTTCATTCTGGAAGCCATCCCCGCATTCTACTTCCTTTGCGGCTCGTCTGCTGTTGTGACGGTTTGGTTGGCAGTTGTCTGGGATCACGGTCTGCAGAGAAACAGACATCGTTCTGTGTGTTCAGCTTTGACGGTGCACGATCCTGAATGCAAGTGTCGGTGTCTGGAGCATACCATAAACGGCACATTATACTCATTCACGATGCAAGATCACTTTTTTGCTATTCGGCTTCGTTTATGTCGGATGTCCTTGCTGTGGGCTGTTGGCTCGGAAGTTGGCAAAGCTCTCGCATCCAGCTGCAAGCTGCCAACGAACCGACGAAACCCCACTTCCTCTCATCTCAAGATGGGCAAATTCCGACCCCGACACTACGGACAGGCCAAGTGGACCCCAATTTCAGAATGGGGAGACTGCGACATGTGATCGTCTATGGCTGACGTTAGCTCCATTTTGGCACGAAGGCTTCCGTAGGGCTGTAGGACTGGACGGTAAGAAGCTTGTGCTTCAAAGCTTGGAGTCCTCCAGCAGGTTCCAAGGTTGGAATCGGCATTCTGAGGGAGGGAGAGAGACGGAGCAAGGACAGAAACGATAGAGGCCGCGGGAGAGAGAGAGAGAGAGAGAGCGAGAGCGCGAGTGAGAGAGAGAGGGTGAAAGAGAGAAATTGGCACGGTGATGGTTCAACCGGCACCAGTGTTTTCTAGCGGCCAGCAGAGTTCTTGTGGTATTGTTGAGTTGAAGGAGCGCCTTGTAATCTGTCTTCAGCATGAGGCAGCATTGGGCACCGCTTGATCATGAGCTGGGTCTGAGGTTATTTGCTGCCTTTCTGGGGCTTTGCCCACTGCGAGGGAATCCTTTCAGGATTCTACTGGATGTGCGCTACCAAGCAATGGGAGGGGGGCCCTCTCACTTGGGTCTCGCGAGATTCTAGTTTCCTTGCAAAAGGTAGTGTCATGTGAAGCCTAAACATATCTTGGAAAAATAAGATCGGCTGTTGAGATTGGCCATTGTTAGTGCAAGCCTTCCCAGTGACGGCAAGCAGCACTGCTTAAGTCATCTGAAGCCGAAGAGCAATCGAATTCTTCAGTTTCTTTGCGCATGTGAGGCTATTCGATCGGGCGATTCCAGACTCGATCCTGATAGGCCGCGCAGGGTTCACTTCAAAGAACTGATCTACATCATCTACATATCTTCGTTCAGGTTCGATAGCTAGCCTGCCCGTGGCAGAGTTCGAGGCGTGGCAGAGATCAGTTCGTGATGGTGCACAGCTGTGGGCTGTCTCCGTGGAGCTTTCGAGTTGCTCTTCGGATGCATCTTGTTAGGGCAAGAAGACGTGGTTCGCGCCCTCCTGGCTGGCGGCATGATGCTCAGACAGGTTCAGACCACGTAGGTGTGACCTTCACACGCCGCTCAGCTCTTAGCTTCTGCTGTCCTAGGCGCTGCATCTTCTGCGGTCCTGGAGCAAGATCCTCAGGGTCTACAAGATCAACCTAGAGGCCCGGGATGCCGGAGCTGTTTAGGGAACAGGCGGACTCTCCCGAAGCTTTCTTGCGCCCCGCCGCGCTCCGCTTTGCTCCGCTTTGCTCCGCCAGATGTTCCGCAACCAGCTGCTGGACATCCTGATCTCTACGTTCTTCAAGGCATCCTGCAGAGGCTGGAAGCAAGACCGGATGCAGCCTTTGCCCCGAGGTGTATCTCATGGCCATGATGATGCTCACCTTCGACACTAAGTTGCAAGATGTTCTTCTTGAGTTGCGGAAGTCCTAATGTTACACAGCCTGCTTGACCTGACACCCGCGAAGTTGTGATCTGAAGCCTGAGACCGTCACTCTCTGAGGAAAACCTCGGCGATCCGCCTTTCTTTGTGGAGTTCTCCCAGGCCGCTGGGCTTTCAAGTCAATCTCTCGCCGCAAGCCCTGAGAGAAGTCAAACATGACGAGCACCACGGTGTCGGGTTTAGGCTTAGCGACTGCCCCCAAGGGCCTCAGCTGAGAGCTTTTCAGGATTTACGGAACGGGTTTATGCTCCCCTTCAATATGATCCAATCTGGCGTCCCAACTCTTGGTCTGTTCTGAGCCTTGGGAGACGTGAGCGCTAGCCTTTCCCAAACCGAGCAATGAAGCTCATAACTCATAGCCATATCAATGGCACTGTGCAGGGCATCTACACTTTCGGGTAGCTGGTTTTTCAAGCAAAGCTGTCACTGATATAACCGTGGTCAGAACAAGGCCAGTGGAAATGATCGCATTCCAGCAAGCAGTGATGCTTCTAGTAATCACAGTCGCAGTAGCAGCATTTCTGGTAAAGATAGCGATAGACTATAGCATTACACGGGAGCAGAAGGCTTGAGTTGCTGGCTTAGTTGGATGTTTGAACCCGCGATTCGAACGTCAATTGTGCTTGACAGGGTCCTCGCAACAGTCAGCGATGATTTTGAAGCAGGTGAAGTGGAATACAATTTCTTCGATGTACTTCGTGCTGACGAGCTGCACAGCTGCATTTCAGATCATGGGTTTTCATCTGCAAGATTTGTTCCAAAGTATGCCGACATTGACGGCAAACGGCCTCAGCAGCAGCATCATCAGCAGCAGCAGCGTCGGCGGCATTGGCAGCGGCAGCGGTAGCGGTGGCTGCAGCACAAGCTGCAGTAGCAGCAGCAGTAAGGGTAGGACCAGGTGTACGAGCAGGAGTAGGAGCCTGGGAAGGAGAGGAGGATAAGGAGGAGGAGGAGGAGCTGGCACAGGCACTGGCACTGGCACTAGCCCAGGAGGAGGAGGAGCAATGGCAGTAGTGGTAGGAGTAGTAGGAGGAGTAGTAGTAGTAGTAGTAGCAGCAGCAGCAGCAGCAGCAGCAGTAGCAGTAGCAGTAGCAGTAGCGGTAGCAGTAGCAGTAGCAGTACCAGTACCAGTAGCAGTAGCAGTACCAGTACCAGTACCAGTACCAGTACCAGTACCAGTACCAGTACCAGTACCAGTACCAGTACCAGTAGCAGTAGCAGTAGCAGTAGCAGTAGCAGTAGTAGTAGCAGTAGCAGTAGCAGTCGTGGTGGTGGTGGTGGTGGTGGTGCTAGTAGCATATGATTCTAGCTTTATTATTATTACT